AATGATTCAAAAGATTGTGAAAGTTTATTTCATATACATGAAAATTGAAACTATTAGTCAATTTTTTAGTTTTTCCCAAGTAAATCAGGTTATATCAAAAGCTGTCTTCTGTTTTTTTTTTAACCTGTGCTCTCGATCATCGGCGCTTATCACTTGGACACAGCAATCGTACATCATATCTTAAAAGGGCCGAAACTGTAATCTCAAATGAAACACTAAGGAAATTGGTTTCTTTAAAATAGATTTCTAAGACCGCACGACATTAACTGGCAAGATTGGAAATATACAGCTTACATGTACCTCATTTCCATCTGTTACACTTAAAATATTTGATGATCGAGACGACACTGATATGGGCTGTCCAAACTCAAAAACTTTCTGCTTATTTCTAAGATCTAACCCCCCCCCCTTCTCAAGAAACAAATGTTCGTCCTCTTATTATTTCTTTTAAACAAAAAACATTGGACAGAAAACTCTGATTTATATATTATTATATAATATAATTATTACATAATATATATTAATATATTATATTAATTATTTCGAAATTGGCATTATTTATCTTCTATATCTATCACTAACACTGTGCGTACAAGAGTAGCTGAGGTGAATTTAAAATGAATTTCGAACTAGAATTTTAATCCAGACGCCCGCGCTGAATTATTATAATTACCCGCTCAAATGTTTTGACTCTAATAGATGAAAATGACGTAATCTGCATACATGTATTTCCAAACCTTGACAGTAAATGTTCCGCGGTCTTAATGTCGGAATGAATTGGAAATTCGCGATCATATTGCCATATACTTACTATCACCTGCTGGACATAGAAATATAGCCGTCAGTCACGTGTCATGTTTAAGCTTACTAAAGTTCGAAATTTCAATCCTAGGAAAAATAGAATTCCTTGTAGCATTGCGCTTGATCTGAAATAATGACCTTTCTGGATTCCTGGAATTAAAAAAAATCTCGCGAGAGATTTTATTGTCTGGTTTCCAACTCAGATTTACGGAAAGTTCTAAAATTATTATTTTTTTTTAAGTAGAGTTTGATCAAAGAGATGGTTGTTCTGCTCTTGGAGCTTTTCTATATTATGCATATTTAACATAGCTGGACTTTTCTGAGCAAAGTGAAATACAGCTGCATTACAATTTTGACGAAATCTGAAATTGAAACTGAAGATTTTGAAAGACTGGAATATATTTTTACGCAGTCATCTTCCTCCGTGACATCAGCTAATCTGACATCTTAAGGCTTTTCATACTTCGGTGCAATGAAATGTACATATATAACTAGTTATAATTGTAACGGGGACCGTTACAGATGTTCCCCAAACGCTCCCCAACACCCTTTTGGTGTCTTATTTCCTGTAAGCTTCATTAAATAAGCCAATGAAGTATATTGATAGTTTTTTGCATTTCACGCGCGCGCACGTGCATGCATGTGCAGGATGACCATGTCATCTCATCTATACTATTAATGCATCTTTATATTCTCAGTATTAAAACATTTCATCAAAAAATAAATAAGTTCCAGCTATATCAAGTATATTGGTCATCTTAGCATTGCACGCATGCGCACCTGCATGCATGTTCATAATGACCATGCCATTTTGTCTACACTTATAATATGTCGGTTTATTCTTAGTATCAAAGCTTTTCATAAAAAAATATAAAAGTTATGGCTACATTAAGTATATTGGTCATTTAACACATTGCACGCGCGCGCATGTGCATTCATGAGCATGATGTCCACATCATCTTGTCTACACTTTTAATATATCTGTATATTCTTAATATCAAAGCTTTTCATAAAAAAATATAAAAATTACGGCTATATTAAGTATATTGGTCATTTAACACATTGCACGCGCGCGCACGTGCATGCATGCATGCATGCATGTGCACGATGACCATGTCGTCTTGTCTACACTTTTAATATATATAAAAATTTTGAGTATCAAAGCATCTCATCAAAAAGTATAAAAGTTACGAGTATATCAAGTATATTTGTCATTTTACGCTTTGCGCGTGCGCACACGTGCATGCATGTGCATGTTGACCATGTCATCTTGTTTACACTTTTAATATATCCTTATATTCTGAGTATCAATGCATTTCATCAAAAAATATAAAAGTTACAGCTATATCAAGTATATTGGTCATTTTACGCATTGCACGCGCACGCACGTGCATGCACGTGCGCTCAAAATGACCTTGATTCCGCAAATCTACATAACATGCCTATTAACCCTAAAAAGGTTTCACCTCAATCGGATGAGTAGTTGACGAGATCACTCGCGGACAAAAAAGTACCCAGGAAGAAGAAGAAGAAGAAGAAAAATAATAATAATAATAAGAAACAGAGTAAAAACAATATGTTCCCCAACTTCGTTTGGGGAACATAATTATGTCTCAAGCAAGAATTGAAAATAATACGTCCAACACGTTTTTAATTTTTTTGTATAAGGCGATGCAGGTAAGCAATATCCATTTTATGTTTGAAACTCTCCTGCTCTACTCGACTCTCTTCATAGGCTAAGTGGAATCTCGAAATTACAGAACATGACGGGTATTTTTGCCTGTTACCACAGGACAGGATTAAAAACGTTTTTTTTCCTTTAAAGGCAGAAAGGTGTGTGTATATCCTTTTTCCTCAAAGTCACGTATAATTCAACGGAACTTTCAGAAAATGTCGAGATATCCGGGGTGTCGAGATATCAGAGTTGAAACTTGACGTTCAAGATTTCAATGCTAAACATAGCTTAATTATTACATACACGAATTCAATAGTCAATTTTAAAAAATGATTCCTTACATTTTTCACGGTCATCAAAGTTTTGAACGAATCTCAATTCTTCTTTTGTTTATTCGTTTGTTTGTTTGTTTGTTTTTTGGTGGTGGTGGGGGGTGTTTTTGTTTGTTTTTTCTTCTTTTTTTTTAATTTGTTTTTTTTTTGTTTTGTTTTTGTTTTTGTTTTTTTGTTTTTGCTCAAAACATCAACGTTGCTTTTATTTTTATTTTTCCCATAATGTACAGTTTCCATACTAGTGTTTGGTTTATGATTTTGAACTTTTTCATATCATTTGAATGACATCCATAACCACTTGTTATATGTAATAGTACATTTTTTCTTCTATCACTGATTTATTCTCAATCAGTGTTGCCATGTAAACATTTATCATAAGTTTAATAATAATTTCTTTACAGCCTACTCTACTATTTAATCTACTGTTTGTTCTGTTTCATACATATTTTTAAAGCAAAAAGTCACTGTCGATTTAATTCTCATTTTCTTCAACTCTAAGTATAATGCTCTTGGAAAAAGTCCACATCTGTTTAGCTGTATTCAATTCCTAAACAAGTTGCAAGTTCATTTCAAACTGGCTTTTACCAGAACAATTTCATATTATTTTCAGGGACTAATATTTTTTAATGCATTTAATCCATTATTTCAATTTTTTATTTAAACAAAATTTAGATTTTTTGTACCCACTCCTCCGTTTTATTGTGTGTTTATTTAGTATAGCTGTGTGCCCCCTCCCCTCCTCTTTGTTGTTGTTTAATGTTTAAACGTAGGTTCAAGCATCCCTTGTTACCGGTATTTATATTCAAACAACGATGATGTCTCTTTTTCAGTTTGAATTATTAGCGGTTGCCTTTTCATTCGGAATTTTTTTTTTGCTTGTCAATTATCTCTGCATGGTTAACCCCCCTCCCCCCAACCAACACCCATTTGGAAATCGACGCTATACACCCTGAGCTTGTCTAATCGAGTATATCAATATGAATAACTAGGGATTAAAATTAAAATGGTTAAAACATTTTATAAGGTGTTATTCAGATTAAAAAACCACTTATATAAAAAAAAATGCTTATATATGTGCACAGAGCTATCTCTCTCTCTCTCTCTGAAAAAAAAATATGTGCATGTAAATGTATATATTTCCGGGGAAAATCAGTGTAAAACTTTCCGGCAACAATGAACCATAAGGATGCTAACGGAAAGTGCGCCATACTTTATTTACAATTCTAGCGTACTCCTAAACTGACGTCATAATTTAACTTCAACGTAAGAAATATGACGTCATGTTTAGACCAGTACCTATGTACAAATAATGACCTATATTTTTGTCAAAATATAGATATTATTGTATTAAATTACACGTAAGGTATATGGTTAATAAAAGAAAATGTAAAACATTTATTGAAAAACGACATTTTTGTCGGTTTGGCGTTGACACAGTAAACGACATTTATGTCGCTTTGGCGTCGAAAGGGTTAAAAGAATATAGAATGAACATTTCAAATATAGTTTTCTGAACTATTGCATAATAGATGTTTATGGACTTAATTAAGGACGTGTATTAAAGAAAAATTGAAAACTTAAGACACTTCCAATAGAAACCGGTGTTGTTGTCTAATAGTAGCCGTAACATAAGTTTCTCCGCATGAAAACGCTTTTGTTTTTAAGAAACCGTTTGAAATGGGTTATTCTATGAAATAATCAATACGTTTTACAAAAATACACCGATCTGTCGATTCATTTTTATCAAATATCTAAACATTTTGACGCTAATTAAATATATGTCTTATGTGCATGTAAGTGTGTCCGAGACTTATGACAGTTTTCGTTCTATACATCAACAATCCTTTTATTCATAAAAAAAAATTAGAGATACATGTTAGTTTTAAAAGGTATGTTACGTTCCGTAAGGGTGAAATAATAAGCAGCTAAACTTTGATAATTGAATTATTGACCATTTTATTGAGCCAGCGAAGAAAAATACTTACCATTTCGTCCATTTTTTTCCAATAGCAACCGCACAATTTTTAGATAGCAGTAATGTACGCGCATTTTTTCTGATAGCAACCGTTTAGGTACTACACCGTGATCATTATAGTTTTATTTTAAAATTAAATCCGACTCCGGAAATTTCAATTCTTGTAGTTTTGGTTTTTGTCAATATATGTTGTAAGCAATACATGTTTCCGGTGTTGATTTTGTGTGTGCACATTTGCTGCAGTAGAAGATGGATTTGTTTGGTGACTTGCCTGAACCAGGTTGACTAAAATTTATTTTTTTGCATTTTCTTATGGTGAAAGCTCAGTAAATGAACTTGATCCCGCTTATTCTCTTTGAAGAAATGCATAGCCTACATAAAATCTATTAGAACTAGTACTTTTCACTTTCAATAATTCAAAACATGACGGTTGACGGCTATACCTGAATATTTACATTTACAAATGTTTTCTTTTATATGTATCTATATCCGTATAAACAACGGGTTCCTCACGTCATAAACGTTCGACGTAATTTCTCAGTAACGTCATAAAGGGTCGACGCGCAATCAATGAATAGAAACACGTGCCGTTGAGTTTGTAAAAATAAAACATTTTCACGCGTTAAAGATTACAATCAGGCAAATATAAGATATAAATAAGTCACAAATGTAAATGGAAGTAATTAGGTATCATCTTAAAATATCTATTGTAATAAAAATACGAGTTGGTACGAGATCAATTTTACCATAATTTGATCTTGTGACCAACCCATATTTATATCCCAATAGATGTTTAAAAATGATACCTTATCTCTTAAATGATCACTTTACTAAAGAGATAAGTGGTTAGCAGTATAAGGTATTGATGTTAACAGGTCCAGCACAATCTCGAGAATTACAACAATCTCAATGAAGTATTTTAGTACAGTTTTTCACAAAAATATTTTTATAAAATAAGAAATGGACAACAAGTCGCAAACTATTTGCCTATACTCATATTTATGCTTTAGATTATAAAAAGAACTATTCAAATCAAAATAATTGTTTAAATAAACAGTGTTGCTATTGAACACTTTAAACTAAAATATTTAATTCCATTGTTTGGGTGACTGTATACCATTTAAAGTCATATATGGTATATTTTTTATAACTTCAGACTAACTCAAATTAAAAAGATCTTGATATTTGTTTTATTACTTTATATAAAGCTAGGACTTTCCTGTTAATTATACATTTTAAGTCAATCACGTTTCAAAGATATTAGAAATTTAAAACAATAACTGATTTATTTAACGACTCCGCATTTAAATAACAGACACAGTTTTAAGTTTAACTATGGAAACATGAGATTATTCAAGTTTAAGATGGGTGAAAATTTTTATCTGAACGTAAATAATATATATCATGTTTATCTACACTCAATTTCGTATTTTTATTTTTTAGCTTTAAGTGTGTGGTGTGGCTAAGTGTGATTACTTCAGATTGTACTGAATCATTACCAATTAAATTATCCTTTAGACCATGCTAATTGGCATCCTTTATAATTTTATTCAAGAAGTAAATGTGTGGTCATAAATCATTTGTTTATATAGCCCCATAACTTTTAGAACTTTTAGTTTCAAAGTATCTCAAGGAGATGCAATTTGATAAGTGATTCTTTCATGTACTATTTTCAAAACAGTTCAAAGATGACAACTTTCACTGCACCAAATTTGGACTTTTTTTTTACATGGCTGATGCAGAAAAAATTGCACATTTAAGAAAAAAGCATGACAAAAAAGCTAAATTAAGCTATTTTGATTACCAAATCTAGCTGTCTTGAATAGCTAAATTAAGCTATATAGTTAAATAAGTTAATTCAAGCTATATACTAATATAGCTAAATCAAGAGATTGCACCAGACCTGGTTATATAGCATACTTGATTCTGACGAATTGGGGCACCCGGATGAACTGGTGATGACTGGCAACACACTTGAGTGTGAGCTGGTATTGCCCATGCATCATGCCTGGTGAACCAGTTGAGCCAGAAAAATATTGATTGGCTTCAGCATGGCATCCTTGGAGATGGTAGTATCAAAAGTGGATTATTCAAAGACATATTTAGCTTTTGATTGAGGTATGCTGGTGAAATGAACTTCTGAACCTGATTGTAAAAGTGTACATGTAGTCCTTTTCTATGCCAGGTATTTAGAACAGGAATGCAATATTTCCATCTCTGCATGTACACTCATCAGGTTGCTTGATTCTAAGCACATAGCTGGGTTTACCCAGCTTAATTAGACTCAACCTAATTTTATCAGAATTAAATATGCTCATAGCTAACTTTGCTAATAACATTATGCCATAGACTAACTATTCTTCAGTCTTAGAACTCTCTGCTAGGAATTTTGATTGATTTAAAAACAATCTGTGAATATTAAAGAGGGAGTAGTCCCTGGCAGGGAGTAGTTTTGGAGGGAATCATGTTCTGTGTAAAAGACATTATTTTATTGTATTTAGTATATATATAGTTATAATAATATTAATAATAATAATATTAATGTATATATATATTTTTTTAAATGGCTGTAAAATCTTATTAGTGTTGGATGGAACATTGAAATTAAAATGATTATTTTATCATCTTTATATATTATGTAAGAAGTTAGTCATAAAATCCATTCTGACATTCCCATACATGAAAAAAAGAAGAAGAAAAAAAGTGTTGGTTTATTGTTAACCATAGACACAGATTTTTGCATAACCAGGGGTCTCTATAGCCAACTGATGCAAATTTAAAAAAGTATTCAAAATATGTCATTTACACTTTTTATACTCTTTATCCTAGTACATTCTGTTTCATTTTCAAAATCAACATATTCCCCTGATTGGCAGTATTGCTGAGACTTTGCTGAATTTTGGTAGTTGTTTACATAGATTTTAAATTATTTTGCAATGTATGCCCTAAACTATCTCAATTAACAAAAAGAACAGATTACATTTAACAAAGACCAAAAATTTTACTTTGGATAAAACATATGTAGTTTGAAAAAAAGTCGCAAGGTTGTAAGTGATGTTATGTGCATATAAACATGGCACTGAAGAAGTTGCTGTAATATGTAAATCCCTGGTATAGCCAATAATTTTTTAATGATATGGTTTTTTAACATACTGTACATGTTTATAAATTCCATGTACCACAGGCATTAGTAAATCCCCTCCTGTAAATCTCTATGAAGACAATCCAGATAGAAACAATTCAAATACTACTTTAGACTCCATGAAGACAGAGAGTGTGAACAATTGTAAAAGAAAAGCTGAGGAAAATAATGAAGACAAACCAGCAAAATTAAAAACGTCAGGTATGAGACCTTAAACTGTGATTTCAAAGATCATTTACCTGACAAATCTGAATTTAGCATAGTGTCATAATATATATGTGTATTGTATAAGCAATGTGTTTTACAGTAAAATACAGATTGTCTCCCTTCTTTGCTGAGCGACAAGGTGAAAGAGATGAGATGCAGGATGAACATGTATTATTAGAAGACATAACACAACAGATTCCAAACCTTCATCCATCTGTGTAAGTTAATTTTAATCTTTGCTAATTAATTTTTTTTTAAAAAAATCCTAAGAAAGCTTCCATACAAACATGATATAGTGTATGTCATACTTAGTCTGAGCACTAGAAGTTGTAATACACATAAAGGAGATACACAGTATGTTTAGACTGATTAATTTGACATTTACAGGTATCGAGTTGCTTTTTTCGCAGTCTATGATGGACATGGCGGAGCACGGGCTTCTAGGTTTGCATCCCAGAATTTGCATAAATTTCTTCTGGATAGGTTTCCAAAGGGTAATGTTCCCCACCCTGCCTTTTCAGTTGTGTATATCAATTAAATATTTTCCACCTATTTAATATCAAAGTGAGATATTATATAATTATAAACTTTTGTCATTTCTGTGGCATCCGCTCCTCTATTTTTACATACTTTGCCATGTTCATTATAGGTGACATTTCACAAGTAGAAAAAGATCTGAAGAAAACCATGGTGGAAGCCTTTAAGAAAACAGATGATGAATTTTTGAAAGAAGCAACTAAAATGTATGTACAATCAGAACCATTGCATTTTTCTATTGATGTATAATTTCAATTTTACTTTATATTGTTTTAAAATTTGTGTTTAAAATTCATGTATATTGTGACATTAAACAATTTTATAAAAACATGGCACTTGATTTGACAATGTTACAGAAAGCCAGCTTGGAAAGACGGAACAACAGCCACAGTTATAGTTGTGGTCAATGATACAGCATTTATAGCTTGGCTAGGTGACAGTCAGGTAAGCTAACGGAAAGTGGAGTAAATTTCAACTGTTCTTTGGGCTTTACAAAGGAGGCAGGGGTTTCTGTTCCATTGTTTGTAATGCCCAAGAGTGTATCTTTCTGGTAAAAAACAATCAAATGCATATTTATATCAAACATTGTCATGCATTTAACACTTGTGGTACGGCCCTCTTTTGATGCAGTCCCCTGCCCTTATAACCTTAATACTTAGAAAGTTGCACTGTTTGTTAAAAAAAAAAACTATTCAAGATATTTTTATCAAAACTCATACACTGGTATATTTCAATTGTGTTCATTTACATGTATGTTATATTTCAAAAGATGTGCTTCATGTTTTAATTTTGTTTGATAGGCAGTTTTATGCAGAGGTAAGGAAGACAACTCTTATGTTCCAATACCTCTGTCAACAGAGCACAGTCCCTCAGTGTATGAAGAGAGAATCAGAATTCAGAAAGCTGGAGGCCATGTCAAGTAATTTCACATCTGAGCTGTCTTATTAATATTTTGTTTTACTGCCATATAATACTATAATGATACTATAATTAACAGTTTTGATTGAGATTGAAGACTTGTAGAATATCCCACTATGGGACATGGAGACCGGTCCTTTGGATGAGACCGTATAAACTGAGATCCCGTGTTGCAGTAGGTGTTGGCATGAAAAAGATCCCTCCCTGCTCAATGGCCCTGAGTGCCAAGTATAGGTCAAAATTTGCAGCCCTCCATCAGCAAGTGGTGGCGTCTCCATATGAGTGAAGAACTCTCGAGAGGGACGTTAAACAATAAACAAACTTGCAGAATATTGTTCTTTTGTTGGTCTCTCTGTTCTTCTGCAGACAACCACTTAAACTTTATACCTATTTTGTGACTCATACAAGATAGAGGCTTAATACTTACCTTAGTTAATCATCAAAATTTTATGTCAGTCAAAGTTCTGTCGAAGTTTTTACCATCAGTGAGACTGCACTTATAAAGAAATGTTATTTTCGAAAAAAACCTGCCTTATATATAAAATAATTTGAATGTCTTGTTTCATAACTTTTATCTAGAGATGCCTGATGATAGTAGAGCTGTTCAATAATTTTTTTCAGGGATGGCCGGGTTTTGGGAGTATTGGAAGTGTCACGCTCCATTGGTGATGGTCAGTATAAAAAGCTTGGAGTGTCATGTATACCTGATGTCAAGAAATGTCAACTTACTGACCAAGATAGGTAAAAGGAAAATATAATCAATCACTTCCTTTCCAAACAATTGGGCATATTCATATTTAATCGTATTCAATGTACTACATTTAGTAATCATATCATAAATAATGCGTTTTTATTTAATGTTAAAATTTTACGGCTAATTGTATACATAATTTGTATATTTACATTGTATATATAATTGTAATTGTATACCAAATACAGTGTACATAAAAAAATGAATTTGAAGAAAAATCAGAAACATCATACCTTTGATGCTCACCAAAACTCAAGATGGGATAATATTGATATCATTGTGTGTTTATTCCCCTGTTCATTGTAAATTTTCCCATTGTATGATTCACTAAACTATTTTTGTTGATATCTGTACTTATAGATATATTGTGCTGGCATGTGATGGACTTTGGAAATGTTTTTCCTTTAAAGAATGTATCAGCTTCACAAACAAAATTTTGGAGGTATGAAAACCATAAATTCTAATCAAATCTTTGAATTTTAAGGTTATATTATGTAAATATGCAAAATGCAAAAAAAATTGTTACCCACCTATAATAGAATTTCTTTCCTTCTTCAACTACATATCATGCTGTCATTCTGTCACAGTTGAATGTAGTTTTCAAATGTTGTTGAAAAAAATAAACTCCATTCAAATGGAGGACCATCTGTTACTATCTGTATAACAGACACTGAGTGATACAATCTGAAGGATGAAATGACCGTGTACTTGGTTCCATGATTTGAGGGCCTAGTTACCCATGTACATCTTTTGATCTGTTATTCCTTTTGAGAGTAACCTTTACAGTTTTGACCTGTGTATGATTTTGCCACATACAGTCAAATCTTGAACTCAGTGGGACCAAGTAAAAAGTTTGAGATAGCCGAGGATTTAAGATATTGAGTACAAAATACTTAAAGAATAAGTGTCTAGGACTTTAAATCACTTCGACATACCTATGGTATTTGAGATATCAGTGTTCGAGATACCGAAGTTTAACTTAGTGTTGTACTATATATATGTAAATAAAAGCCAGTATTTTTAATTCAGATTTTACCTGTGGCTTCTGTAAAAAAAATGGACTCAACAAGAAAGTATCATAACAGCACTCATATCTAATCAGAAATAATTCGTAAAATTTTCTGCTATGCCTAGGATGAAAATATACAACAGACGGATGGTAAGACCTTGAGAGAAGTTCGCTGTCAGACCGCCTGTCAGAAGCTAGCTAACGAAGCAGTCCTTCGACTAAGTGCTGACAACGTGACTGTGGTGTTAATATCCATTGCCAAAACATGATAGAACTCATGTGAATAATACAGACTTCTCAAATTGCAGCTATTTATAAATTTTTTTAAGTGAGATGTGGAGATTGACAGTACTATGAGACTCGATCAGTTTGTATGAATGAATTGTTGCTTTGGAAAGTTGAATGGTGTAAATCATCTGTTAAATCTATTTGCTGAATTTCGATCACTTTAAATACCTTGGGGGGAAAATTCAGTTAGCAATGAAATATTCCGAAATCTAACAAGAATTCATTTTGCTTCCTTTACCCCTTCTTAACCACTGAAATTTTACTTAATATGATTACTGCAGAAAGTTTCAAGATGCTGATTTAAACCAACAAATCATAAATCCATGTATAGGTAATGGTCATTTTTCTATTTATTTAAAATAAAATGCCACTGTTGATGGTAAAATAGGAAGGCTGTATCCTGAGGTAAAGTACAACCTTGGTTATATACTCTAGGAAATCAGAGGATTAAAGATGAGAGGTTAAAACATGTTAAAGAAAAGTGGTTGGGACTGCTCAATCAATTGCCATATCCCTGGTGTTCCAGATATGATGATACAATATAACTGCATGGACATGTACCTATAGCATGAAACATGCATGAATATTTTTAATTTTCTATAAAACGGATTTTGTATGAATTGAATGCATTTTTTGTGTTAACGATAATAAAACATGAAAGATCTGTGTTTTTTAGTCAGAGATATATGTAGTTATTTATGTCTGTTTTATTTTTACCAAAAATAAAAACACAAAATTCTTCTAAAATGAGAGGAATGACAATTATCATCAGAAGCCTTTCATTGTTAAATTAGTTTAACACCTGACCTATATTCTTTTTACCGGTAAACTTGATGATGGTTTATTTTTGAGGCTATTTGACCTTTTTTTTTTTTTACACTTTTGATACAAAACAGGTCCCTGACCACAAATTTAATGTCCAGCCTGTCACATATATGGGGGTTGACTTATGAGTAATGATTAAGCCGTGCGTTAATGGACAGACTTCAGGAAATGTTAGGTATACAAACGCTTGGTGCATGTTCTGTGAAGTTAATGTATACAATATTTTGAAAGAAGATGTTTTTATTAAGATATGGTTTTAGAAGGTTAATAGGTCATCTATGATATCTGAAAACTTCTCTGTCGGTCCAGGCTTCATCTTGACCTTGTGTATTTATTACACGTACGAGAGGAAGTAAATTTATATAGAATCAGTGAAGTTCTATATGTCCCCGAGCGTATACTATTTGCTTTCGCTTTACATTTGAATCTTTTATATTATTAAATACATTTTGCATTTTTTTTTACTTTTAGAAAGATTTCACGATAAAAATACATTCCACTACAGATATCATAAAGCCCACATTGAATCAAATTTTTAAGGGAAGTAGGCTAAGCCCTAAAAGTTATATATTGCACCAATTATGACGTTGATATCTGTCTGACTTCAAAATTATTGGCCCGTTTCGTCACGTCTGATACATGTAAGTGATAATTTCGAGTGTGACGGAAGTCCCCGAAATGAACCCGAGTTTTCCTTTCATATAAAAATGACATTCCGATTTGTCAACATTGTTGAAACTAAATATTAAAGACAATCTTTGTTACACGAGTTTTATTAAACATTGATAACACATTATTTTAAAAAAGAAAGTCTTTTAACAAAAATGTTGCCGTGGACCCTCAGCTGCGGGCAAACAATTTTTTTCTTCAGGTCCAACAAATCATATTGTCATGTTCGGTCAATATTTTTATTACGTTAACAATAATGAAGAATATTTGGAAATTCTTAAGAGTTAAAATTGAAAGGATATCATAACGAATAAACTTATCAACTGTTACATATAGATATATATTTCACATATTAAAAAAAAGAAAAGAAAAAAAAAGAATTCTTACTTTGAGGATGGGTTCTTCTCATATTGTATTTGAAAATTCATGAAATTTTCAAAGATTCAAGAAAAAGATATCAAGTAGTGATGGTATTACTTAGATTAAAATTGATCTTTTAATATTAGGAGCAGGGCTAGTCCGAAATATCTGACGTTTTCCAGACTTTTTTCACGATTTTGATATTTTACGTGCCAGGTTTTCCTGGCATGTAAAATATCAAAATCGTGAAAAAAAAGCCTGGAAAACGTCAGATATTTCGGACTAGGAGCAGGGTCAGCTCAATGTCATTGTCATTTTCCTTGACATTAAGAATAAAAAAAAATACTGTTTCCAATCATGTAATGCCTACTTTCATTTATTTACCCTTTGCATAGAAAGATGACACCACATAGAATCTATCTGAAAAAAACTACCAAATAGAGATAATAATTTAACTAAAATATATACAAATCAACCCGAATTTCCTCTATTTTCTTCGGCACTATTAGTTATTATTATATGCTTCATATATTTAAGTTTTTCTTATTTTCTTATATGGTGAAATAATCATATGAAGATACAAAATGATACCAAAAATTATTGACCGTTTAATAAGAGGGAAAAAAAGTGTTTATAGATTTTTTTTAAATCTGCTCTTAGATTTGAAGCTTTCAAAAGCTAAAGAGACTGTTTTTTGTTTTGTTTTGTTTTATTTTTGTTTTGTTTTTGTTTGTTTGTTTTTTTTTTTTTGAAAATCATACTCATTTGATATATTTCAAAACTTTGGTCCACAATTATTAATTTCAGTTACTTAAGACAATTGATTTAAGCCTTTGATTGTTTGAAAATGTTAACTACGAAATTTCTTAATTTTATTACATTATTCTGTAGTAATTTTGAGGAGCAGAAAAGGAGATATTTTCATACGCCGCCTCAGCTCAGTTTACCATTTCTATCTAAAGCTGTACAATTATGTTTGTTTGTTGTTAAACGTCCCTCTCAAGAATTTTTCACTCATATGGAGACGCCACCACTTGCCGGTGGAGAGCTGCAAATTTTGACCTATACTCGGCACTGAGGGCCATTGAGCAGTTAGGAATCTTTTTCTTGCCAGTACCTACTGCGACACGGGACCTCGGTTTTTACGGTCTCATCCGAAGAACCGATTATGAGAAGGAAAGAAAATATGATCTCTTAAATCCCTAACATCTAAATATGAAAGACTTTTAAGCAAATATACTTTCAATATTTCATTTAGTCAGAAACCAAACAAGAATCCCTCCTTAAGGCCGTTATGTGATTCTCATCTTTACTTCTTTATGTCGGAAAATCCTTTTTTATAACCACTGTTTTACTATATGAGTGATGTAAATAAATGTTGATTGTTAACTTAATATTCATAAGCAAGGATGTTTTACAACTATTAGTAAGTTCCTGACATTAAATGATATGTATAGTATATAAGTTTGATATTTTAATATTTACATATAACAGGTGGGTTTAACATTTGCATAAGGCAATTTGTAGAATAGTTGTTTTATGATAATGATATAGTATGTTTACTAAATTATAAAACAAACTAAAATGAATGGTTAAAGAGCTCACTCTTCTTATTTGACGTCCATCATTTGTCATTTCGGAATTCTAGATTTATACTCATTGTTTCGGTTAAGTTCTGTGGTCGATGCACAGTGAAAGTTGAAATAAAAAATACGTGAATCATCAAAAATTGACCGAGAATGGTAGAAATTTGTCTAATCTTAGTGGAATTTTTTTTATTTTATTTTCAATTTTTTGGGCATTTTCAATTGCAATTTGGTCCACAATGACTTTATTTTCCACCATTATTAGATTAAAACCCGAAATTTTATGATGCTGCTATACCTAGGCCTGTTAGTGAATAACCTATGTTTGAATAGACTCAGCTTTGAAAATTAGAATGAAAATATTTAACCCTTTTTAGTGACTTTGTCTACGATTCTTTCAACTTTATCATCCGTATCATCTGGGAGCTATAAAAATATGTATGGGAAAAAAACTCTGCAATTTGTAATGTGTATAAGTTTTATTATACGACGTCATTATGAAACTGTAAAATGTTACAATATTATTGACATTAATTATATTGATAAATATACCAATGCTTGAGACATAACAGTTGACCGTTTAATTAAGTGTTGTGACATGAACCTTTTGCAAACTAACAGAAGTATACTTTTACAATATATCTGAGTAAGGTTCCCTGAGGATATACATACAAGTACATGTACTATACATCATGATAAATATTTGTACTTTATTTTTATTCTTTAATTTGCCATCTACCAGAAGTATTTTTGTGCATGCACATGAAAAATAGGGATATGGTGAATTGTTTAATTATCCAGAGAAATGTAACATATAGATGCTTCTGTCGCTGAATTCATTGAATGAGCATAATTAACACTCTGGCTTTAAAAAAGGTAACGCCTTCTACTACAAATTTCAACCTTTTATTTATGGAAAGAACAATGCAGAAATAAGTTGTGTTAATTTTGTAAGTACATCTACGTAGGTAAATTCAAAAGTTAGATCGTGACAGAGACATTGGCTTTCGATTTGAAGCAAAGCTTATACGTATATAGCAATTTATGGCTTTTCCTTTACGAAAATATGGTAGAAAGATTATGTTCGTCGACACACAAAATTCCATGCGCGCTAGACCACTGCTTCTTCATGTCATTAGCCTGACCAGTAAGGTATGCACACACTAAGTTGTATCAGTCAACTTATGAAACTTTTACCATGCACCAAAATAAACACATTATACTTTCTTGTGCATCATTAAATTGTTAAATAATGCCAAGTTAAGCACTAAACAATTCTTAGTTTAATTATAGAGAAAATCGTCTATCCATACTTGCAAACACACACTCGTTTTGGACAGAATCCTTTCCTACAGTTTTCAGTACACCAACCTTTGATGGCTTTCTGCTGACCATAGCGGTTTACACCATGACATATAATAGATTTTTGGGGACTCTTTGTAGTGGAGGTTTTTTGGACGCGCGTTGGCGTACCTTTACTTTTTGCATTTCTTGAAGGATACTTGTTCGTATTATTAACATATTTGATTTTTTGTCCAAATATTCTTGGGTTTTGCTTGTAAAGATCCATGTATGCCTCTTTAGACAAGAAATTTACGTTCCCATGTTGTTTCGATATTTTCTCTTTTATGGGGTCTTTCTGGTTAAATTCAGATAAAAATGGTAACGTTGGCTTTTTCGTTGAGCTGAATGGTAGTTCAGTTGTTGCTGCTGTAGTTGTTAACATTGAACTAGTAGTTGCTCTTACCCTTTTGTTCATACATCTACACATATGTCGAGGGCAATTTCCCGCCTTACAATTTCTTGTACACCATGTGTTGATGCCCTCGACGTATATAAAACTTTCTGCACCTGTACAAACCAGAGTTTTTAATGTAGCAATTTCTTGAGTTGTAGTAGATTTGCCTCTTTTCCTTTGAAGTTCTAATAGCCTTGAGTCAAGATTGTGTGTATGTTTCCGGAATTTATCAAATTCACTCATTCTGCTTCGAAATGCTGATCTGAAATTTCTATTTGAAAGGAGAGGGCTTTTCAAATATTCTTTGGGTGATATTTCACGAAGTACTATTGGGTTTCCCTCTAGTATGTCATCAATGCCATAATCAGCTTTTACAATCATAGGTCGAGCTGGCGGCCATTGCGATTTAAGTTCAAATTGATAACGATCTTTAAAGTCGGTGTTTCGGATTGGTGATTTTCCCAAAGACTTCAAAGGATCCCATTTTACAGATGCTATATTTTGCCCATTTCGTTTGTTTGACTGCACCATGAGTGACTTCATCATCGACCACAACATATCGGACAACTTCTCAAGGACAGCTACCTTCTGTCCATTGTGTTTTGTTGTTTTGATGTCCAATGGATCAATTTCAGTATTTGATGGCCTCTTTTTAAAATTAATCTTTGTACGTTTAGCACCCAAGACAGACTGAATGGCAGATTTTACTGTCACTGGCTGGATTTCCAGCTGCACTGGAACACCCTTTATTGACGAAACAGTGTAATCTGAAACTGTTAACGGTGACCATGTAGTCATCTCAGGATTGTCTATAGATGGTTTTTTAAATTTAATCTTTGTACGTTTAGAACCCAATGCGGACTGAAATGCAGATTTAGTCACCGGCTGAATTTCCAGCGGCATTGGAAAACCTCTTATTGGCAAAACAGTAAAATCCGAAACTGCCTCTGGCAATTCTGTTGTCATCACAGGAATGAATCGTTTGTCGATAGATGTCGGGTAAATATCTGATGAGTAAGATTTTTCCGTTGGATAATCCCTTGAAATTGATCTGAAATTTTCCAAAGTATTTCTCAGTTGAATTTCCAGTGGCTCAAAAAGATGGAGCGGTCTCTTGTTAGATCTGGAGTCCTTTAGAAAGTCTGGATTCTCTGTTATCGAGATATCTGCACAGCCATAAAATTCTTCCTGAGGACCTAATCCATGTCCGCATCTATCGTTTATATCACAGTTCCAACGGTTACCTAAATAAGATTAGAAGTCTTACATTCAGTTATTTAAAATCAACAAAAGCACTGATCATTATCGTAATATACCGGACTAGTTAACGAAATTATTAAATTTTTTTTAATTTCACATCGACTTTACTGTTTATAAAATGAATGGATTTTATTTGGCAAACTTATTCAGTATTATGCTTTACCTGTGTTATAGCGCCACTGTAGTACACAGTGCTCACACGACAGGTTCGGTGGAAGGCGACCTTTCATGTGAATTACGCCATTTTCTGAGGCGTTGACATGGTAGCGACCATCTATAGACTCTGTTATTAACACAGGATACTTATCGAAGCACTCCTGTGTGGCTGGAATATTTACATCTCGGATAGGACACACACGGTATTCGAAAACACCAACATGGTTGGCAGTGAGATCTGCTGCTAAATCTATGACGTCACCAGCCTTGTATTTCCGCGTAATAACCCCTGTAGCATATCTACCGCCTGCTTCGTTGGGTCTGGGGTGGTCTTGGTATGGGTCGCCACAAACTCCGCATCGTCCCCCTTGATGAATCCAATGGTTCTAAAATAAAACAATGCATTTTCAAAGTATTAACAAAGTAAATTTTTTTTGTGTCCGCAAACCATTGTCCTACCTCAGTATCTTTATGAATTTACTTTAAAGACGATTTTGGTTTCATTTTAAATACCGGTGTGCAGTTCAAATAACAAAGAATAGAGCAGTTTGCAAGCAAGATGAATTAATTTTATAATTAGTTCTTGTCAAGTATTCGAACATTAACCTGTATTTCATATTTGCGTTGTTTATGTTTTCCATATTTTAAGAAATCATTTATTTTCCCTGGAATAAACCCCCTGATTTTATTGACTTCACCAGCGTGGAATTCCTCATTTGTCTTCAGAAAATGAGATTTACTTTGATAGGTAATGGTTTGTTGTTAGTGTTTAGAGAACAATGCAGTAAATCGGCAACAACTGCATAGTAAAAGTCAGATCTAATTCCTGAGTTGGTGTAAATCTTGGTCATTTACTACCTTCGAAAACATTACAAATATCAGTGTGGGTCAGCACGACAGTTATTTCAGTCATACATTTATCATTTTGGATCAGTATGCGAAGTATTTTCTGATCACTTTCTATGTAAAATAGTCAAAAATTTCAGGGAGGGTTCAAACTGAGTTTACATCCAAGACCCCCTGTCATTAATGGTAATGAACAATGAAGCCCCATGCAATGAAGTCTATGACGCTTTTAACAATTAGTGGTTTTGGTGGTCAAAACGAATGACTGATATTCTTTGTGAGGCTTTGTCTTGGGTTTCAAGCAAAAGTCATCCATGTCACCGGAGAGCACATCTAAAACTAATGACTTAACGCTTAGGCAAACAAACCAGTGAATAGGCAATTGTCCTGAAAAGTGGACATGAGCCTTTTTTGACTGAGGTGACATTCTGTTAACACCTGATTCTGTAATTTTCTTTCCTGTATGCTATTTCCTCATATACATATAAGCACAATATCTGCTGCGGATGAAAGATCTCTAGTAAAGAGCACGGTTTGATGACGTTTTTGAGACTTCTCTCAGTTCCAGCATTGCATAGTAAAATGTTCCACATACCAGTTTACCTTCCGCATTGCAAACACGCGCATGGAATATTTACCATGTATAATGTTTAAAAAAAAAGTGCATAGTAAAATTTAGTGACCAGATTTTAGTAGAATGATGTAATATGGTAAACAATAGGTCTACAATCTAATTGTCATAATTAATGAAGAATTTTACAAGCATTAACATGCAATTCAATTTCATTAAAGATCAATATCTGGTACCCCCCCCCCCCCGACAGCAATGACTAAAACGTAATCCCAATGGACACAAATGCTTGCATTAAAAACTGCAAAGGAATGCCATTCAACTCTAAATGTAGAGGTTGGGTCAGCTGTTGTCTTTAGCGGATATGCCTATCCATTTTATCCAATGCATACTCAATGGGGTAAAATCTGGCGATTTAGATGGCCAAGGCAGAACAGGATGCTCTGGCTTTGCAAGAATGCGATTGTCAAACGAGCCGTATGTGGCTGTGTATTGTCAGATTAAAATACGCCTCTAAGATGCTGCATTGTTGGAAATACATGGTATGTCAAAGTCTTCTGAATATGAACCAAATCAGTCCTGCTTGTATACAATACCATTGTCCACATCATTACATTACCACCACTCAATCTATCCACCTCCCGGAAGCAGTTTTCTGTAAAACGTTCATTACGAAGCTTGTGCACTTTGACTTTGTAATAAAAAATTTGGTTTTGAAAACCAAACTTTTCAGCGGTGTGGTAGTGACTATACTCTGTGTGTCTGAGACCTTTAAAGTCGGTATCTGGGGTGTTGTGGAGTCAGAACAATAATATGAACAAGTCCTCTGGCTCTAATTCCGGCATCCCATAGTCAATTGCAAACGGCCTTGTTTGATACTCTGTGCAGTTCAGTGATAGCTTATGCTGTAGATGACGTTATTATGGAAGGTTGGTGAAAATTACGCGAACCTTGATGTAGCGACCCTGTGCTGCTGATGTCATATTTTTTGGCGATCATTTGTTGTACCATGCTGTGGGTATCTGTTTGATAGGTTCGTTAAGGTGCTTTGTGCAGCATTAAAACTTCTTGCAATTGTAGACTGTGGTACTCCTGCTTTCAGTCGCTCAACTTCCTTTTTGCGATATGCATCATTCAGATGCAGCATTTTAAAAAAGCATCAATTTTCAAAAATATACCAGGCCAGAATAAAAAAATCTAGAACCCCAGCTTTTGATAGACCTTTCGTACCTGAGTGATGTGGGTCAGAAACCAACAAAAGAAAATTGTTTTTAAAAAAACCCAAATTTTACTGTTTTGCAAAATCAAGTTTTTTGGTCTGTTTCTTTTATAGAATGGCTTTCAGATAAACAATATCGTAAGAAATAATGAATTTTACTCGAATGAATCATATACATCCAAAAAAAATGTATAACATAATTATTTCATATTATTCAACGTATTATTCCTATAATGTGTTTCTTTTTGGAACAGTATTATACTTAAGTAAAAATTTAGTTAACATTTCCTTTAGGAATACCTTTTAGAAAGTAAACCTTTCCGCGAAAAGTTACATTAACACTCTGGTGGGGGGGGGGGGGGGGTGTTTATCTCTCTATATATAGTAAACATTAATTCCCCTATGTATAGATCTATAGTCATCCCCGAACATTTTACTTCTAATGATTACAATAAATGGTTACCTAAAAAAATACTGAAATTTTAAAAAGGGGCGCTGTATTACATACTGTGTAACCTTTGAGTTTTCCCAAACTGATCATGGTTTAGTTGGAAGGGTTACTTTACGGAATAAATTTACTGTATCAAAAATCAATTCTTGTATTGTCTTTTTATTCAAGTCGTTGATTTTATATATTTTGTTGATAAAGAAAAAAAAAGAAACACACACACACGTACTTACACATACAAAACTACGAAAAAAAATGTATGGATATACATGAAAAAGGGTTGAAGATAACGAACAGTGATCGATCTCATAAAAACTTCAAATAATACAAATCTGTGAACAGAGCATGTGATACGAGGAATTGCTAAATATAAATGGTTTCTGCCTATAAGCACAGTTTGTAGAATTGGACGTGATATGCTGATAACGTAGAACTACATGTAAAGAACGGTTTTCATTAAAACATAGAAGTTTGCAACTTGTGATATATTAAAAGAAATAACCAGGAAACAACCGATGCTTCTTGGCATTGTGTTATTTAAGAATTTTTGTGTCAGATAAAGAAAATAGTTCACTGTAAAAAGGATTAAGTTTACTTTTATTTGTATATGCTGTTAAAATGATAGAATCATCGTTAAATATGAGTGTATCAAAATACAAAAATTCTTATGAGTTAGATGTGCTGTCAAATTTGATGAAATATTATAAATCACTTTTCATATAGAACTCGACACGAGTTTTGGTGGAATACTATAGTAGTACTTTAATTACGAATTGATTATTCTCCAAACAGATGCATTAGATTCTCGTTTGGAAAACAAGCATAATTGTTTTGAACTAGCCAAACATTAAAACAAAAACTTTTACTCATATTTACGTGAATTGTTAGTTTTTAGATGTTCTAAACACCATGTTTATTTACTCACAGGTTGTTACTTTGTTATTTCTAATTGAATTCTTAAAAAACAACTTTTTATGAGCATAAATTTGTTAAATCGTTAAGAAATTCAGTAAACACAACGCGGATAGGTTAGTGACTTCTCCCCAAGACAATGGAGCGAATTCAAAAGAACCAATAACACAAGTCAACAAACTCTTGACATCATGGCATCCTAATTGATGCGCTTAGTTTTCTTTTATTCATTAACTTTGTTTTTGGAGTCGTAGTTTTACATACCTTTCATATTTCATAACGTTTATATGAAAAATAGGACATTTGTAAAGGAAAGCCTTGAACAGTTTTCATAATTTTTTTATGACAACTTTCTCTAAATAATTCAAGTAGCACTATTAAAATGTTGAGCTACTTAAAGTGAAAATGTAGAATAGGATTAACAGTTAAACTTTTGACTTAAAATAATATATTTTTAATACTGCTATCAAAAATCATTGATATCATGTGCTGGCATTAAATCAGATTTAGGCATAATTATAATTTTAAAATGGAAATAGGAAATTCAGCAACAGGTTAAAGTTGAAAGCATCTCACTCTCTTTCATCTTACCTCATATCCACCACAGTTTAGTTCATTATCATTAGTATTCACTGGGGAATCGAATCCTCTCCTCCACATAGAGGAACGGCTAGGTGGCTCCCATAACTTCCCGTGACCACAGACCTCCACAATACAAAGTACAAGAATCCAAAGAAAGTACATAATGAAACAATGAAGAAGAATCACTAGTGTGTCCCAAATAAAATACCCGTTATAAAGCCATTTATTCAATAGTTGCTTTGCTTCAAAAGACTTAAATTAGCACCGAGAAAAAAAAGGTATGAAGCAATTCAGAGACAAGAACTCTATTTTTCCCATGTATATTTGCAAAATAGAGGTCTGTAAACAGGCAGGTTTAGTGCAATAAGATCAAATTCGTGTCCATGGTATGTGTTACATCGTTTCACAGATTTCTTTGTGTACATATTCACCAAACATGCTAATTCTGCTATTACCGGGACACAATATTCCAATTTTGTCCCCAAATGCAAAGCAGGCGGTGTTAAGATAGGGGCTCGCGACTTCACGTTAACTCATTTAGCTAGCACGCGCTCCAATGGGCCGTCTGTGATGCGCGCGCTCATAAAATGTCGTGTCTGACAACTTTGACCGTTATATACGAGAGGGGTCCATATATATTTGACTTAGATCTAAACCTAGCAACTAATTATGTACAAAGTCGTACTGTTCTCTAAAATATAAAAGAAAATGAAAATCCATGTGGTTGTAATTTTTCTAAGAAGCTTTTAACGGAAAAAAGCATGTGAAGCAAAAAATCGCATGTTTTTGACAAATGTTACTATCATGTTGAACACGAAAAATGGATGTAAATTCCCGGAACATTTGTACATTCATAATTAAAAAAATATTGTTTCAAAGGATAATAAATTCTTAGACTCTATGACTTTGACATAAAGTGGCGTTTGACCACCTTTATGAAATCAATGTATAAATATTACAAGGTGAAAAAAGATACAAGCAGTGACATCCATTGTTTTCGTGACTCGTGTATTATCCATATAATTCTGAAAAACAACGCCCTACAAATCATAGTAAATAATTCTCACATATTATTTTTAAATCATCTTTCTGTCCAAACAACTTTTCATCAAGTAAAAGAATAAATTTTCCTGTCGATATTATTCGTATACAAACGTTTTTCAACCACGGCAGATAAAAGTGAAGATTAACTGATCAATAAAATATCTTTTGTATCATTAAACATAAAGAAATCGAAATTACAAGAAACAGTTAGAAACAAGCTAATTCAGAGTGTCCTAGCTGTTTATGGAAAAAAGAAGAGCATGCGCGGATCTAGAGGGGGGTCGTGGGGGACGGGACAGTTTAAGAGGGGCGGGTGGAGCCATCGGGGAGTTATGGTATAAAATTTCATTGCAAAAGCTCAAATGCTTCTTGAGATATCTCTCGGAAATAAAAGTTTTACACACAAACAGAATGTATGAATAATTTCATTGCAAAACCTCAAGACTTCTCGAGATATCGCGCGGAAACAAAAGTGTTACAGACAGACAGAAAGACGGACGGACGGACGGACAGACAGACAGACCCATATTAATATCCCCCACTTTCAGTGAAAGCGGGGAACAACTAGCTGCTTTTGAAATTTTGAATCCGATCAGATCTTCATTAATTGAAAAAAGACAACATTCTGAATCATTTTATTAAAATACAGAAAAGATTAAGATGGGATTAAATCTAATAGTTTGTAGGGCTGTGTCATGACAGCCGTGTACAGTGAGAGAAAAGTATCCCGACGTATCGCAATATCTTAGAAAAAAAAAATACCTATAATAAGTATCCTGATATATCAAGTTTTTTTACGTTTGATGGTTTCTTCTTGATGTTTTTTTTATTTTTAGGAAAGAAAATGTAGGTTTCATCTTATTATTTTATATTGATAGATTCTCTAGTTTGATATATTGGAGTGATTGATTGCATGTGTCAAGATAAACGCCAAGTGTGTTAATCCCTTGTGGATAAAGAATATTAGAAATGAATGTCTCTTGATATAATCTAGTTTACCATCACAATCAATATGAGATAAAATAATATGTAATATCGGTGTCCTTTTAAATGGATCGACTTGTAAGCCCAGAGTATTAGCAAACATCATTTTGTTCAAAACAACAAATATTACAACTCTTCCACAGTGCATGGATAGGAGGCTAACTTTTTTATTCCCTATAGCAAGATGCTATTTGTCATTACGATATTTATACCGTCCATCAGTACAGACGCTCCGTTAACTAATCGTGCAGGGACATTATATATGATAGAAATAGAACCATAGAACAATGTTTCCATCTCCTAAATATAAATCTAGGGAACAACCTAAAATATGTGTTTATTTCCAACCTACGTTGTTCAAAAAATGAAATACTCTTAGAACCACAGTGTATATCATTGAAAAGTGTGAAGGTAATGTGTTAAAATTATTACCGTTTCTTAATGGCAAACAATATCAAATGAGGTCATTGGACATCTAGATCGTGTGCTACACAGTGATGTCTGTATGATTGAAAATGTTGGCGTTATTGCTTGCTTTTTGACATACCTATGGCGGTTTACATCATGATACATAACAACATAAGGAAACGTCTGCTGTCTGTGTCAGACTGATCGCTGACCAAAGACAGGATTATCGCCATTTATACAACAGATCATCGCACAATAGGTGACAAACATTTGCTCCCTTGTTCAAGAAGTTTGTGATCTTTGGTGTCTTTAATTATCACCTGTAATTTTTCGTTGCCGTATTTATGAAATCTTTTTTCTTTAGTTGTTTAAAATTATTTTCTTCAAACAGAAAAAAAATCATATACCTATCGAACGTTTAGAGCAAGATGTATTCATTTTCCACTAAGATGACGTATTTTGTCTGTTGTGGTACGTTTTTCGTCATGCGACGTCCGTAAACTTTGAACTATTTAGCTTTTCTTGTACTGTTGAACCAACTTCGACAACCAATGTTTGTATGAAATATATGGAGATAACGAACAGTATTCAAGCTCAAAAGTCCATTAAACAATACAATTCATAGAGCATAGCAAGCACGGACCTCTAAAACATCAGAGGTGGGATCAGGTGCCATGGAGGAGTGAGAATCCCCTGCCGACCGGTCACACCCACCGTGTGCTCCTTGTCATGATCTGGAAATAACGGAAAAATCCGTCGACAATTCAGTGTTTAATAATGGCCTAATAATTAGTATGAAAAACGTCAGTCAGCATTTGACTTAATGATAAATCGTATTTGCTGACAAGGTCATTGTATCGACCATAGAACTTGCGAAATGACGAGAAGTGCTGATATTCTTGTTTCATCAACTTGTTTGTCAAAAACTTACCTCGTTTTAGAAATTGTTCATACGTAGAACATGCTCTTAATTGCGTATCGAGAGATATAAACCCCGTATGCAGGTGATGAAGGTATTGCTGTATAAGTAAGGGAAGTTGACGATTGAAAAATTAGTCATCACGTTTATCATAAGCTTGGTTGTTAGATTACCATTAACGTCTTTTTCAAGTAAAATATCCAAAATATGAAACAGATGTGTCAGACTCTGTGGTATCTTTTATTTCAAGCTCACTTGAAAACTATCTCAGCTCTAATTACTTGAACATAATGTTTAATTGTATTGCATATTTGACCATATGCAGTTGTGTATGTACTGTATTCTAGAACATAATTTGTCTAGTATTTTGTCTGGAACATTCCGAAATTCAATTTAATGCAGCGTGGTTGTTTCTGGAATTTCTTTGAGCTTCATAATTATCTGGCTATTCACTTGGCAGGGGAATTGACTCGTGTCAGATCATAAGCAACTTTTCTTTGTGTCTGACTGTATACATAAATCTGGGTAGAGTTTTAAATTGTTGAGTTTTTTTTTCATAGACATATTTTCTTTACACCTGAGCTTCCAAAAGAGAAACTACGTGAATGTGATTATTGTTACAAAGTCCTTAACAGTTAAGTTGTAATTTTTTATCAAATAAATGCAGACCAGTTCCAGGTTGACCCAAAAATGCCATTGGCGTAAGATCCTTAGGTAACCTATGTCTGTACATGTAAGCCTCTTGTTTAAAATCTCCATTCTCCATTCAGATATTAAAACTTCAGGTAAAATATAAGTGTTGCTAACATTGGTGAAAATATAAACGACTAAAGCTGTTGTCAAGGTCACCGTGATATATTTTCAATCTACTAATATAAATATCACGTGTTGGCACCTTTACGGGAATGTTTCAGACAAATGGTCTCGCAGGCAAGCGAAAGCACACGATACGAGCCTTAACTATACAGTGGTTGTAATAAAATGAATTTAACTGTCATTGAAACGTTTTTTCCTGCAATTCATAGAGTGATAGAATTTTTATTTATTTAAGAGTAAATAATAATTTTATTTCTTGTCACTTGCTGTATCCTTTTAATATATATTCGTTTCCCGAAAATGTACAATGTACGCCTCACATCCATTAATTTAACAAATAAGCGGATAATATTCCCATGGCAGCTCCACAAATAAGAACGGGAATTTTAACCTTTACCAAGACGGAATTGTCTTTGATTCATCGGTTTAAGTACTTGCTATTAAAGGAGATCGAATGATATGAAGTATTAAACAAAACAAAACAGTCAAAAAAAAATTTCAGAATGTTCATATAATGACAATGAAAAGAGACAGGAAAAAATGTTCGTCATAGTGAATAACAGTTAAATAGATGTGATTAAAATTATGTCACATTTAGCTATAGACCATATTTCCAATAATTCCCGGGAATTAAAAGTATTAATTTGAACTATTCCCACATTTTTTTGCCAACCCTTCTGATAATATTAGTTTACAATAGCTTGATTTGATATTAATTATTTTTGTATTTTTTCTTCAATTTTTAAAACCGTTTTTGATATCTCTGACAGTTTGTCAGTAGGCTTATTTGTTTTTGTTTGTTTGTTCTTTATTATTACATGTATTATTATTATTATTATTATTATTTAAATTCAAGCATTTTCGTGTATATATAGTTTTGTATCATTTAAGACCATTTCATTTTAGATAAAAAAAAAAACTTGGTATGTTAGTTATTTAAAGAATTTTGAATGATTATGGAGCAATCAACAATAAACTGTGTGTCCATATA